GTTTAAGATCGCTTGATGAAAATGGGCCTAAAGGTCGTTTCAGAAACCGGCCATTAGACGGGGGATCGGCAATCAATCGCAGTTTTCTGTTTAAATGATTTTGCTTTAGGTATTACTACGACAAGAACATAATGTCCAAAGTGCACGGCAAGCGATATGCCTACAAATTCGATTTTCACGGGCTAATGGCAGCATGCCAGGCCCAGTTCCAAGGACCAGGCGAAATCGCCAGCCATTACAAATATCAAACGCATCAGGGCGATTTGGGAATGGCCATGTTTTCCAGCCACGATCATGCCGCTAGAATTCCGGCAATTTTACCCTCCAGAGGCCAGCAGCAGGGACTGTTTCATTCGAGCTCGTACTGGACGTACTCGGCAGGAGGGCTCGAACCACGCGAACCTTTCTGCAATTAACTGATTAGAAAAAAAGCATGCCGGGTGTTCCTGTTCAGGATAACGATCAGGTTGCTTCGGAAGCTTAAGGAAATGARCGAATGTTTCAAGTGATTACATTTTCAACGCCGAATTTTCACGTCAATAGCTGTTAATTGGCCAAATTTGCCTGACGTCTAATTGCCAATGTTGCTAACCGCCAAATTTGCCTGACGTCTAACCCTATAATTTGCCTGACGTCTATAAGTGGCCCAAATAACTAACARTAATATAGAAGATTTAATTTAGTAATCAAAAAGCCATCGACATCTGCCTATAAAAATGGTCTTAGCATACGTCACACTCCACATTATATCATTGAAATTGCCAAATACAGGGTGCACTGTCTAGTTTCCGGAAACGAGACCGATAAGCAAATTTTAGAGAAGGTTTTCTGTCGATTCGAGCTAAATCGTATTATACAGGGTGTCCCCTAAACACATGATCAAAATGATACTGCGATATTATTTGCATCAAAAGAAGACGATCTGACCTAACTTCATAAATTACCTGACATAAGTGACGGACTGACAGAAGTGATAACTTCATGAATTAATAGAAACCATAAAATAGTGAACTTGTTTAACGCATGATGGCAATAATAATTTTATTTTATAATTTTAATATTCTTGTTAGTCTAATAATTTCTAAATGGATCAGGAATAAGTACAAGTTAATTTAATTTCCATTTAAATGTAAAATAGATTTTATTTGCAACATTTAAGATTCTTTAACGAGATGTTGTACATATTGCTCTTCTTGGGTTTGTGTAAACTCTTCTTCTTGAGTTTCTGTATTTTTTTGTCGTAATTTCTTATTT